CAACTCAGATGATAAAACCAGCTTATCTTGGAATACCCCTCACCGACGCAGCAACCCAGTTTCTCTAGAAACTTACCCCTTTTATTCTTTAGTCAAAGTAAGATCTTTTACGCTGATTCGTTCGCTCACTCTGTCGGAGACAGATTGGTAGCTTGTTGGACCCGGCGACGGTCAATTCATTTGCTCGCTTGTTTACTTCGTCGGAGTACGAATGGTAAGTCGTTGTACTGCTCGACTTTTACTCGTCTGTCTTTTCCCTCACTTACTCGATCGATCGTATACTTAGTAAAGTTAGTTTCCGGTAGGTTGTTGCACCGTTCGCTCAATCATTCGCTTGTTTGTTCAGTTTGATCGCTGATTCGCTTAACCGGTCGCTGTGTCGTTCGTTGCTCGTTCGTTTCTTCGTCTCTTCGTTTGCTCGACCCATTACACTCTTTGTAAGAGTTATCACCGGGTAGGACATGGGACCGCTGGTTCGTAAAACCCGGCCAGAGTTCTTTTAACAATCGTGAGGCCGTTTGTTTCTCCCTATTAAAATCAGCTGATCAAAAATGATATTTTTCATACCTGTAACACGGCAATCGATCCATCGGCCAAGGCTGCAAAAACTTTTCCTTCTGGTAAATGAGCAATGTCGATGACTGAATCATTAAGCTGGATGCACCATACTTCCGAACTAAAAGAGACACAGAAGTACGTCACTTCACAGAGAGAAAAAGGTAACAACTAACTGCATATAACCAGAATTATCAGTCTACAAAATAAAATGAATCAATGACTTTTGACGGTTCTGTTGTATATTTTCAGCTGTAATGGACGGCAATTGCACACACAGTTAGGGAGGTGTACCTATCGATTACTGTGGATAATAATAAATCAGATTGTGTGTTTAATTCATAAAGCAAAAGTGAAATGAAAGCACTAGTTTCTCAACCAAAATTATCAAAATATATTCACACCTGAGCTCCAAAACGAACGCATGTATGTACCACGACACCGTCCCCACTAAGATAGTGCCATCGTCCAACATATCACAACATAGAACACGTGATTTCGTCTGCCAATAAAATTGAGGACATTTGAATGGTTAGAACATCTAGCAGTTGTTGCATTGGTGGCAGAGGTGCCTTCGTACCAAGCACCTCGTGCGGAACATTGGTAAAAATTGAAACCACTCTGGAGACCAATTAAAAATGCAATCCATAAATATTCTCATTTTTTTTTTGCTTGGAGCAGAAGAAGAAAATTTCCACATTTTTTGTTAATGTTGTGAACAAATGATGACAATGAACGGCAGCATTTCCATGCAATTGGTAATGGTAAGCTACAGCACATCACAAACGCACTTACATCTACGTCAAGCGCCTTCATTTCCTTCTTGTTGATGTCCAGGAGATAAAATTCTGCTGTCAGCCTACTGCTACAGAATAGACACACGGGGCTTGACAAATCTGGCATTGAAAAGCATAGAACAGAAGTTACAAATTGAAAAGATTGATTATTTGTTTTAGTCTAGAGCGGATTTTCCAAACTAAATCTCGAAAACAGAGCAGAATCATTTCATTCTAAGATACATAGATATTCAGTTTACGGCTTAGTGTGGTAAAACTAGAACTTGTAAACTGACGACAGCAGCAGAAAACCAGGGCAAAATGAAAATACTAATATGAACCAATCAGAATACAAAAAGGCCATTGACGTCATTGGCTCTAAGCGCAGGCAAACGCTAACGACTGTTGTTATAGTTGGTTCACGGTGTGGATGTTTTATCAGCCACGATGTAAATTCGGCATGTCAGCGGCGCTGGCTCGCTAAATGTGTTGAGAGGAAAAATCTTCAGCCCACTTTCTCTACAACCTGGTTAGTTATGGATACACACTAAATACTTAGTCAAAACTAAATAGGTAAACGAGTATGAAACACTGAAGACCACTATTGTAAGAGTACTTGTTAATCTTAGGCACAAAAAATTGAAATTGAAGAAAACAGCACAAAACCCTTGGAGACCATTGCCATACACTAAACATCAAGATTTAAAAGCAAGGTAAAATAATTTGTGCTAAAAAAGGCAGACAATTTTAACTGATAACTCCGGCTTTATTTGTGTTGTCATAGCTTCCCCTAATTTGATTATATTGGTCTTCGATTAGCGCTTGTTTGCTCGTTGCTGTCCGAAGTGAAGTGTAAATTTACAAGATTATGTTGAAACGTGTCTTCATATTGTGTTCTGATTAGTTTCACATCAGTCAGTTAATAATTCAAAGAAACAATTTCTAAGCCTTGTTGGGGGTGAATTGTAAAGCAAGCTTAACTAAGGCCACATGTAGCAATAACATAAAGGAGAGATTCAAAGTTTCAATTCATGAATATTTTTAATAGAAATTACCTGCAGATGCTTCCATACTTGACATGCAAATTACGTTTCTTTTTAAAGACACTCAGTACTTCATAATAAAACACATACCACTGGGCGACACCAAACCCCCTGGTTACATAAACAGGCGACTGAAAAAGATTCAAACCCGGCTGACACAGCAGTCATTGAGAAGAACTTCAACCCAAGAAACCCCACAAAGCTGGTTTAACAAAGAAGGTGCGTCATGTAAGCTCCCTTAAAAAATATAGCAAATGCATGCTCGAATATTCGCTTTCTTTATCAAACAGGGACATTAGGGAGTCAGGACGGCAACGCCGATGAAGACGTCGATTGCAAACTTAATGTATATTTTTTGTTAGAATTTTGCGAAAGGCTAGATTTGTTACGGCGCCACACCTCCGCTTCGGCATGACGTAGTTTTGTAGTGTTGACTCCCAAATGGAAACTTAAATAACTTTCAGTCGGGGTTTCCGTTATCAGACCACAAACATCTTGGTATTATGGTTTGGTTTTTTTTTAGCAGAGGACGGCTAAGAAATGTGCAAAGTTTAAAACGCACGTGCTGAGCTATTTCTCTGCCCCTTAGATCTTTTGTCTTGTCATTTCCTCGTTACCGTTGTGGCTTGCTTAAGAAATGTGCAAAGTTTAAAACGCACGTGTTAAGCCATTGCTTTGTCCCTTGGATCTTTTGTCTTGCCACCTATTCGTTACTGTCATGGTTTGCTGAAGGCCCTCATCTTGCGATCGAGAGGGTATGTTCTAATTTGACTATCTCATCGAATAGTGTAACGAGTTGTTTGTTACACGGTTTGATCCATGTATTCATATCTAGTGACTACGAAACAAGTGTGACTGTAATTCGTGCTAACCTTGATGAAAAGGTATTGGGTAAGGTGACAAAGTACTGTCTGTGTTCCTCCTTGGGCCGCATAAATTAACAATTTTGGTGGCGGCCTCGCATCTCAAATTAAAGGGGCCGGCTTCAAAAAAAGATAAGCGCCTGTACTCGCACAACTTACAGAGTTAGTCAATTAAATCATAAAATTCATTAATTCCATGCCAACCGCCCTCGCTGACTGTTATTCGCCGCTACGAAACTGTAGTATTCGCGGGCTAGATTTTCAAGGGGTGGAAATACATAAGCTACAGGTTGGTGAGATAACTTTGAAAGCATTTATACAATCAATTTGTACCTTACAAAAATTTTGTTTAATGCTGTTGTTGTTTTTTTTTAACTTAATCAAGCATTCTATGGCGGTGCGTGTGTTAAAAATGTGACAATTTTTTCTGTAACAGATCTCTTGTGAAGAAAATGACAAGCCACTCTCTTAAGGACCAAATCTGCTATTGACCCAAAAGGGCACTTATAGAAAAAAGATAAAGAGCTACTTTAAGAACGACTACGATACGGTCAATTTTTCTTAACAAAAGGCATACTACTGATATTTTTTCCTTTGCTATGGTAAAACGAACGTGGAAACGTTCACAGGTGCCCTTGACAAGGAAGCTCTGTTGAAGGAAACGTGGATCAACACACGCTGTAGCTAGGACAGTTATGCGAAAATTGAACCACAATCTACTGAAAAAATCTCTCTGTGGTAGAAAGAGTACCTTGTTAAGAAGAGACTATTGGATAAAGATTAGTTGATGCGTCTAAAAATTTGCAATCTTTACCGACACACGCATTATACAAAGGATATCTGTTGACAATTTGGCAGAAGTGAGGAAAAACAAACGTTTTGTCTTCCATTACGGGAGAAAATCCTGCAACGACAATATCCACAAAAAAAATTAACTACACACAGATGAAAAAACTAAAACTAAAAACGGAAAGTTGAAAAAATACTGAGTTTAATCATTTTAGGCGGCAGGTTAAATTTCCATTTTTAATTGTAATAACGAAGCATTGTTATCTCCGTTTTACAATTAGAAGTTTTTTGCGTTTTATCTCCCTAAAATTAACTTTCAACATTGTAAATAAACAACAACCTCGGCGGGACAGTCCTCTACTATCTTTTATGCATTTTTTTAATTCACAAAATACGCTAAATTCGAACACAAGAAACATGCTGAGACGAAACACATTTCGCGAACTACTCGTAAAAAAATTTGAATTCGCCGAATCACTCACTGTAGAAGAGCAAATTAACATTTGTTGGATGAATTGTCTCACCAGTAGGTACAGCAAATGTTACTCAAATAAAAATCACACGGAGCGTCATTCGAATCTGAGCTGTTATTATAGATTGGAGAATCGCTAAATTCTCACCTACGGAGTTTATTATAAACAGTAACAATTATTGGAATCTGAGCCGACAAAGTGTTCCACTCGAAGTGTTATTATTTCACTGAAAGTGGTCAGTTTTCAAAATATCCTAACTTTTCGCCAGTTAAGATAAAGTATAAAAACCGTCCTTTTTGCAAATTATACCGACGCATTTGGCTAATGCTAACAATATGACAGACAGGGCAAAATATATTAGCCATGACGTTATACATTGAGATGGAGTTTCAATTTTCCTTGAATTTTCCTCAAAACATCTCTTTCAGCGACTCAAATTTGAACTATATAATTTCCCCTAACCCTAGAGGGCTTTTCAATTTCAATAATTTCCTGATCTGTGGTAACCAAAGTGTTGGGATCGATACAAAATTAATGCAAACCAGATCACGTTTCAAGGCGGATCCAAGATAAAATCATCATGAAATATTCAGTTCTAGTCGCAAATGTTCTCTGCACGCCACTTGCTTAACCTCACAGCGCAACGCAATAACTCTGTTGTTGGAAATGTTTATGGTTGACTTTTTGATTTACAAGACTCGTATCACTGCAGGGAGCAAACAAGAACAAGTGAGGTGAATCAAGAATGATCATAAGAAGAAAAAAATTGAAATGATTAGATGCAGTTTGTTTTATTCAGCGAGTTATGGTAGGCGTCGCACAGGACAACGTCTCCGTGAGTTAGGAAACAATCTTTTATAATTATTCGTATTTTCTATATACATGCACTGCAGCCGATGGTCAATGACATGATGGCTTTGCACTCATTATACAACAGGATATACCACACTGAGCTGTCGATAAACACCAAAAACAAAACCCAACAAAATTGAGCAAAAATCACACAAGGAATGATATTGAAGACAACATAATTTCGTCTTTTACACAGATTGTTACACCGAATCTGATAAAATGGTTCCGTTACTTTATCCTTAGAGGAAGGGGTTAGCCCTAAGCGTTTGGCTTTGAACGTTTTTGTTTAACTTTTGTTCATTACATTTTTTTAACGAGGTGTGTTGAAAATTGCGTTGCAGAAAAGTTATGTGATTCTGCTCACATTCTTGCTGTATGTAAAACCGTAAACAGCGTCAAAACCTTTTCATTATCTACTGACTCATTCCGACTCTGACTCATGCACTTTCTGTTTATTTCGATGCCTTTTCTTCGAGAAAATTCTTAAGATAAAAAGTTAGTGTTTTACAATAGAAGCATGCTGAGACAGGGGAGATGAGATTTTCGTTTCCTTTGACAGAAATTTATTGCAGTGCAATAAAAAACTGTAGAAGATCACGAAAGATATTAGTAATTTCATTTTGTATACGACAATCAATTTTCAATTGTCAATTTCTGATCAAAAGAAAAGTAGAAGAGTAAATATAACACAAGTCAGTTGAATTTGACGCAGTTAAAACTGAGTTAGACTGTGGGTGAAATTTTCAATGAAATGGATGGTTTGAAGTTCATTTAAAAGGTACATGTCATACAATAAGAACCCTAATTTACACATATCAAAAAAGAACCCCAAACCTTAGAAAGAGCAATTGTATCAATGAAAACTTAACAATTTAACCGCGTACGATTCTGATATAAAGAGGTTAGGCTCTGACGTATTCGATAGTAAAATTTCTCATGCTGAGACGAGTCGACCTTCAAAGTTCTTCAGTGGTTCAAGGCAGAATTTTCTTAACTGATAATGTTTTAAAAAAAAAGTTTGCGCAAAAAGTATCTTTTGAAAGATTTCTATTAAACTTCGACTGCCGGCAGTCGAAGTTAATGGGAGAAAATCGATCTTGGATCGTGCAGCTATTTCAGCGCAAATAAGTATAATTATCAGTTTTTTTTTGCTGAGGTCAATTAATCCTCAGTTCATGTCCAGTGCACTTCAACACTGAGACTAAACAATAGCTAAGTTCGCACCTGCGGAGTTTTTGCGCGTTTTTCGTTTTGCTTGTCTGTTTGGTTCTTCATTTATGTTTCATTGGAAGAAACAGGAAAGGGATTGAGCAACTAAAAAAAGAGGTAGTTGCCGTGAAACCACTCTAAACTTAAAGATTCTATCACCAGCCACCAGTACATTTACTGAGCTTCTTACGCGGTGTACGACTTTGGTGTATGACTTAATTAGCACACGCTTGCCAACTGAATAGTATGCACAGCGCGGGTGCGCAGTCGTAAGGGACAGGAATATCCTTACTTCCATAGGCGTCCTCCTTAATCTGGTAAATCACAGGAGTGACAACGAGATAGATTTTTCGTTTTAAATTCTAACACAGTGTCAAACGAAGAGGTGATAAAAATGAAGATATTTATAAACTACGGGATTGTTACGAGTGTCGATGTAGAGCAGGGTTGTTCCCAGACAAAATTCAGGATCGTTGGTTACAGCAACAAACTGATTAATTTCCACGTAGTTGACTTCTCGACTTTACAGCACTAAGCTTCTTCACAATTCTCTCTGTTTTTTTTGGCGAAACTATCGCTCTTATATACATAAAGTACAAGGATCTAGAAACTTCTCTAAAGAACTAAATTTACTAGATTAACACGATTTCTAAATCTGAGTAATTGCAGAAGAAATGGAATGTTCCAGAATGTTCTTATACGAGAAGGTCACGTCTGGATGACTTCGAGTTCTAGACTGTTCTATAGAATGTTCTAGGATTTAACTTAGACAATTTTTCGTAACAGGGAAACTGTTTGTGTCAAATTCCAAATTTTCCAGACTAGCCGACGAAGAAATGTAAGATCATCAGTCAGGAAAGGCAGCTTTCAGATTTTGGTAGTGAAAGAGTTAAACTGTTCCTCTCACATTACTACATAGTTTGTGTAGCAAACTTGAAAAGATTGGAAGGCAAAGAGTCGTGCTTAGTCCCATTTCTGATCCAATAACTTTCATCGATTTTCAGTGATGTATGTACAGTTTATCATTCGATTCACAATTCATTTCTATGACCATAGTATATGATAATTCTGTTATTTTCAAAAAGTACACTGACGTAAAGGTTTCGTTATGATGTTCGCAGTTTGTGTGTCTTGAAGAGTTAGACCAAATAATCAAATTCGTGTCAAAATTCCCTTCAATGAAATAGCTTTCATTGAAGATATCTTTTCCCTCAATTACGTATATTAATATTTATCCCACGCGGAAAAAATACAGCCAGTTATGGAATAACATAATCGGTATATATCGACGCACATGACTGATACTAATCAAACCGTGCAGTTACGCGGAGACGATTCTAAGATAGGAACATAAAACTTAACGTCATAACCTGCGGAAACACAGATATTTACTTGCAGAAGAACCAATGCAAAACTGCTGCACATGAAGATTCTACGACCCACTTCCTCTCTCAGACACCAGGAAATCTCTTAAGACAAAATATGGAAATGGTGCCTGCACTATAGTTAGTAACACTACAACTTGATGATTGATTTCGTACATAAGCTCGCAAAGAAAGTACCTTTATAAAGAAATCCAGAATTTAAAACTTCCTTTCTAAGTAACGTCATTTCTTCAAACAACCCTAATTTTTCATAACATATGGAAGCGATGTCACGATACCTAAAGCTGTTTTTTGGATCGTTCAAAATGTATTGAGTTAGAAAACAAGCCCTGTAATGGTAGAGAAACACCAAGGAGGCAAAAATGCTAAAAGGATTCCAAACGAAAGCCTTAAAAATTGAATGCTATTTTTTCAAGAGAGACAAACCGTGAGGAAAATCCTCCAGAATACAAGAGGAAATCTCACAACATAAAAAAAAAGTACTCGGCGAAAGTGTACAATAACATAAAAAATATTCCCTTCCGGAACACATTTCTGATATTCCCTTTATTTCTTGCAGAAGTTCAAATTCAAAAGTTCAAATTCAAAATCTCGGGCTTGATTTCCTGACTTGGAAAGCAACATAATTCCGAAAGTCAAAACAACCTATCGTAACATATTACTTTAGAACACGATCTTAAAATTTAGGAACCCCTTTTTCCTTTCACATGCAGAGAACAAAACTAAAACAACCTGCCCTAGGCTTTTTAAATCACAACGAAAAGATCGAAATATTAAAATCGTTCATGACTATTATCTGATACAAATGCATTTTTTCGCAGAATAGTGTAATCAAAAACTAACTCACAGTGCTCTAACGCGTGCCAGTGTGGTCGATCTCCATGTGCTGGTGAGTAAAAAATTATTTCATCGCGTCTTTCAAATATTTCTTCAAGGTACAATAGTGGCAAAAAAGCATTGAGAGGCCGAAAATCACACATTACGCCCGTTTTGAAATCTTTGTCTTCAAACATGTTTTGAAATTACTCTTACTTCACCATCTGAAATCGGATCCATTTTCCATACAGTTTCGTTTGCGCTGTGTTTATTTACATTTCATTCCTATCTTTGTTGAATACCGTCAGGACTCGTCAGGCTTCACCTTCGTAGTTCCAATTACAAAACTGAACTAAATCTAAGATGTTAACGCGCGAACATCGAAAATGAAACAGTTGTTTTTTGTTATGGCTGCAGCTCGCCAGAAAGATTTTAGTCCATCTCTCGTAAACGAGTATGGTGCCCTTTCACTTTTTTCCAATGATTCTCTATTCGTGTGTAAAAAAGATAAACAACCAGTGGGTAAAGGAAGACCACTTCTTAGGGCAGCTTCAATAAAACTCAACATCAACTCAATCAGTATTAGCCACCTTGAACTCATCTCGACTTAGCATTTTATATCACTCAACGTGACTACCAAAAGAAGCGATTACACCAAACGGACAAGAAACTCATAACATAACATAAAATACTGTTGTCCTGCTTAACTCATGCAATCCTACCTCGACTTGTTGCCAAAGCGCATTCCAGAATTTCGTGTTGATCCGGTTTTTCAAGCTTCTCCTGGTTGGGGATTTCCACCGTGAAAGAACTGACACGGGAGCGCTGTAAACGAAGAAAACTAGTTGAACCAGTTGAACTAGATATGCAAATGAGATAGAATTCAGCAATTCACTGAACTGGAAATTCCCCTTTAACTCTCAAAAAATTCCCCACAAGCAAAGTTACCAAACACCGGAAAAATCGTTTCCGAAGTTTCTCGGAGACTATATTTCACAAGACTTATTTCAGTTCTGAGTCAGAAACATAGGACATATAATGCCTGTACGTGCACTGATGATTCTTCAAAATTATCGCCAGAATCTAAGAGCGGAGAATGTCGCTAATTGAAAAATTAATCATATAGAGCATTTTTAATCCTTAAACTCCCATGAGTGACCGAGAGAGAATTTTTCCTTACAATATCAATACAACATCAAGCAGACAAGTGATGAGAATAAACAAAAATATTCACTAGGGAATTATTAGTCGATCTAATACCAAATTCTCTGAATTAACATCGTAAGAATCGTATAACAGACAGTAAGGAGAATTACTAATGACATCTTGGGAGTGAAAGGGTTAAACTCACTCGTCGAGAGTACGGTCTTCAGATCGCTCAAGAAAAGATTGGAAGGCAAAGAGTCGTGCTTAGTCACATTTCTGATCCAATAACTTTCATCGATTTTCAGTGATGTATGTACAGTTTATCATTCGATTCACAATTCATTTCTATGACCATAGTTTATGATAATTCTGTTATTTCCAAGCCTGAAATACGAACTTTGGTCCCATCAAGTTTCAAGGGTTCTCGTTCAAGGCCGAATGGAATTGTTTCCAAAAGTTTCCAAGGTCAATGTCAAAATTTCATGCGACGACCTTCAAATTTTCTCATTAATGTCAGAACTCAAGGTCAGCTGATTATTTACAACAAGGTTTAACAAACCTATAAGAAGAGCTACCTCGCATTATGTGTTATTAAAAGCTGAGTTTGTGTGTTCAACTCGGTAAATAAGCTGTCAACTTAATGAAAAATGTGTATGAAATAAGGAAGATGTCTTTTTAAGCCACTTCTTTCGGACGGAAACGGGGCACGGAGTAAGGTGTTTCTATGATTTTCTGAAATCAATGTTTTGTTTGTTTTTTTTTTTTCCGTTCAATGCAATGAAAATTTATGCACCATTCACGGTATACATGGTGAGCTTTCTCTGCGGAAGAAACTGTGTATAGTTAAAATTCCATTTAGAATCGCGTTAAAAGGAAACAAAAAACAAAAAAACAATTGTAAAAAAATATCAATAAACGAAAGACCAAAGTACTTAGATTGCACCTTGTGAAAAAATTGAGAAAGGCAAAAATAAGCTGGGTTCTTAATCAACAAAAAAAAAAAACAAACTAACAACTGACGTTTGATTAAAAAGAACGCAATTTAATATTCCTTCGTTGTTTGCACTTGACTAAGCCTCGTTAAAACTCTTTGTATTCCTGATTGCAGGATAAAACCTCACCATCTCACAAAAGGTTAGTTCTTCGAGTGAAACTTCTACAAAGTTTCGTGGCCGACTCTTCGATCGTCATATTGAACTTGATGCTATCACAATCATCATTTTCAATGACTTGTAATCTGATACTTAAAACAACGGAGAATCGCGGAATTTCTGTTATTTGCGTCAATATACTGAGAGTGAAACAAAACACAAAATTTTCTGTCAAGGCAAGTATTACAGATGAGATACAAAAAAAAAAAGGTCAGCATTGCACGTTTTAAACGAAGGAGGTCGTGTGCCAAACATAAGTCTACCAACTTTACGTAATTCATTCACGCCACATCTTGAGATTATCCATAACCCCTATAAGTACTCGTTCATAATTACGCTAACCTGAATATTACGGTTGTGCAATTTCGAATCGCTAAGCTTTAAGCAACATTGATTTTTCGGTGAGAGCGAGCTCTGAAATAGGGGTAAGGTAAGGTTTGCTGTTAGTCTTGTTGTTTTCGTAGGAAAAAGCCTTCAAATTGAATTACTCTCGTCGAAATTTCTCTCTAATTCAATAGAAAAGAACCGCATCTAATTTTAACTTATTAGCTTAATGAGATCTCGATTCATTGACGGTGAATTTTTCAAGTAGAGCTGAATCAATCATTTTACGTTCCGAAAAACAAGAAGAGAATATGTTGGAGTGAAAACAAAAGAAAAGAACTCAAGGGAAAGCCTCAAGCAGAATGGATACAAAAAACGCTCCCGTTCATTTTTAACCACGTAAAAATGTCCTTTATTCTGCGCGGAAAAAAACCGACAAAGTTGCAACCTGTTACGAAAGTACGTCAACTTTTACTACATCACGCGCGTTTGGCTGGCCAAAAACTGATGCAACACGAATATGTAAACGGTGACAAAAATCCGTTGGGGCACTTCTCCGATACAGGTGTTCATTGCCGTAATCATTGATGATAAAGAAGACAGTGAGAATGATAATGATGATAAGGAGGCGTAGAAAGACAATGATAATATCGATAATAATAACAGTGATGTTGATGATGGCCTACTAGAGTTTTTACATTAAAATGACTGCACTTGAAAAAACAAACGGAGAATCAAACCAAATAACTGGAGTAACATACCGTTCGTTCATCCCTTGTAATCGACCTCTCGTCGAGTCTTGTATCAGCACCACCTAAATACTTTGCTTGCTTCTCGTCCAGAGTTTCTATAGTTGGGAAGACCTTTACGTCTTCATACGACGACTGAATGGAAAAAAAAGGTTTTGAATAATTTTGCATCAATAAACGCTCTGCCACACTTAAAAAACTTTGGAAACTTGTGGAAACTTGTGTCATTAGACACTTAACGGACATTCAATACAATCAAGTGATCATTTGCTCCGTCTGTGTAAAACTACCTGCAACTTGCGGAGGACTGAAAAATATCAGATTAGCAGTAAAACGCAAAAGGAGCAACAAGAAACCAAGGAAGACAAGGAATGGCTGAGGATGGACCATATTAAAACCGAAGAAAAAATGACGAACTTGAAAAACAGAAGAGATCCGTTCCTATTCATAATATATGCACATAATATTTTAATTCCAGCAAAAACGACTTGAAGAGAGATGAGGCAGCTAAAATTCGATTCTTGCGGTTTCCTGTTCGGTTAAGTTCGGATCAAGGCCTCTTTGCTGACCTAAGCATGCGCGGTATAATTGTACCTTGAAAAGCTGATCTTTGTCGTAAGTGACCCTTGCAGCTCTCTTCATGTACTGCATGATCTCCAGCGGACATGACAACTGCAGCAGTGCCGGCTGCTGGACTTTCATTAAGCCAACGGCGATCCGAAATAGGGCCTGAAAAATTTTACGAAGTAGGAAAGCAAGCCTTAGTCACACTTATCATAGATTACTTCTACGGCTGAATTCCACATCAAAGTGGTTTAAATCATTTACAACAAAGATATATTTTCGACGGGAACCAGAACCGAGAGAAAGAACCCCACGAAAAACAATTCCTTGTTACCGTTGGCAACTAAACTTGTTCAATTATTGGCGGGTCGATAGTGTTATGCAAACGTGTGAAGTAAATTTCCTCTTTTAAATAAACCAACCTCTCTTCCTTCAAAGACAAAACAATCCCAAATTCTCATAGCGGTCTGCAAAATTGAGAGGAAAAATGTTGATAACTAAGAAGAAGAAAACAACAATAAACTGCGGATAAAGAAAATATGAAGAACAAAATAGAGTGCATCCGTTGAAGAACCTTAGCTCTGCTCAATCTATTGCTCTTTTAGAACATCTGCGATCTAAATGATAACATTTCAAAATGAGTTCGATTAAAAGAAAAGGAAATGAAAGATGAAGAGTATCAAGTCGCTTTTCGCTTGAATGAGGTGAAACGCAAACCAGGATAAACAAAGGAAATATCACAAGAAGTCGATGAGAACTTAATTTAAAAATATTTAACCCGCCTCACTGAGAGCGGAAAAACACAAGTGAACAAGTCCTGATTAGCTTTAATTTGTGCATCTGATTGGTTGACAGGATAGGGCGAATTTCTAAGCCAACAAAAACACCGAACTACGTTCAACACTCCATTGAAAAATTGGTCTAACTGGCAATGTTACTATTTCCGTCACGAGATCGTTAGGGGTTTGTTGACTCTGATGATAAAATGGTACATAGCTCCTTGATGCAATATCCCACTTTCTTCAGCATGATGAGCAGTTTCCCTACTTATTTCACAAAGAGTGGGAAGGGGTCGGAGCGTTTTTTCGGGCTTAATTCACAATGCAATAGTAATGACTGTTTTGATGTGTTAAGATAATTATCTTAAAAGAGAGACTGTCTTAATTCCAGAACCCTTTCTTACACTCCTGGGAGTGATCAGGGTGTAAACTTACCTACTCATAGCAAGACGCAATCAAACACACATGCAATGAGAATCAGGGAAATTATAAACAGAAGGATATTACTCCAATTACCAAACTAAATTCTCAAGAATTGTCCTCAAGCAATTGTATCATCGTCAGTTGGGTTAAAGTGATCTTTGATCTAACGAGTGGGAGGATTGAAGATCGAACCCGTAAGGGAGTTTACCATGCGAAAACCTAAGTAAATACAAAACCAATTTATCACAAAATAATATTTTGTTTTTCTTTCCTTACCTCAAATGGAACAGCATCAATGAAGATTGTAATAAACCAATTGAATGTGACAGTGGAGATGTCCACTCCATAGTACTTGAGGTGCGCGTGTAAAGCTGGTAACAAGTCACTCAGGAGTTCATTCAAAACAGACTACAAGAATAAAGTAAGTGAAATGTCTTAAAGGTCTTTAAGGATCAGCTTTTCGGGGGGCTACGTTGAAAAATTTAATTTAAAGAATCATCATTGCTCCTTTCTGCTTTACTACCCCTTCTTTAATGGTTACCAATCACACAATCATTTTTAGTCTCCTTCGCGTAGAAATGTAGTTTTTCCAAACACTGAATAAAGATTCCGTCAATCAAAATCCCCTAAAAAGTCCCTTTCATATAAAGTGCATTAAAAACTACCAATCTCAATCTTTTTTTCCCAGTTGTCAAATCCTATTTCATGATGCAAAAACAACCTTATCACGGCTCAAACAATGTAATCGATAAATAGATACATAAATAAATAAATAAATAAACTAACATTACTAAACCCAAGTTTCCATTTTACTACATTAGAAGAATCAAATGTTGGTTAGTCGAACAAAAACACATAAGTTTTGATGACCTCTGATTGCTGATTGATTTATTGTGATCGTACGTATAAGTAAGATTCTTCCAAGAACTTTAATTTTCAGTTGATAACAACCATAGAAAAGATATCTCACCTGATCAGCCAGAGCTCCACTCAATGCTTTATCAAAATAGTTTTTAAGATAAACTTCTGAAACAGCGACAAAAGACCTGTAGAGCAATCAAAATAAACTTGACTTCTGTTTTGTCACAAAAAAAACGGTACCGTGAGACTAATTCTAGTTTCTAAGCGTCAGCAACTGGCAGTATTGATACTCCTCTTGACGTAGAGTCGTTCCCAGGACCACAACATGATCACCCAGCCAGAACTCGAAACTTTAGAGTCCAATGTGTTAAACATTGCGCAAATGCGTCTTCTGTTACTGTTTTGTGAAGCCATCCGGCGAAACCTGACCTGACTTCGGTCATGTTATTCGAGTGATCTCTTGTCCCAAAGATTAAGCACACGGAGCAACAAGGTAATTCCTCTATCAGGTTTTACTTTCAGTAATTAACGTAATTTTTTCCCAGTAAGGATCGATTTGTACCAACATCTACTAAAACGGCATTAGTTTTTGAAACCAAACACAAAATACAAATATATCAATTACCAAAAAGCGTCTTCCTCGTCCATAAAAAGAAGACACATGGCCACAATAAAATTCATTCCCTAAAAAAAAAAAAGAGTTGGATAACTTATGTAGAAAAATCAAAGATAGTAATGCCGAGTTAAGCGAAATATCCTCGTTACAGTTGTACTTCGATTACGTTTAGAAAAACAAAATATGAATGCAATATTCTTCCATGCTACCTAAAGCTGGAAACAGGTGTATCTCTGAAGACAAAACTATAAAAAAAGAGAGAAGTGGTAGCACGTGCGCCTTATTTCCCGCAGTGACTCACTTGCCTTCTAGAGCTGAGCCTTTCTCTTTCGTTACGTAACAGACCAACTGAAGCGATGTTAAACCGTATTGATGTCTGCTTTTGCCAATCAGAAATTTTTTAATTTCAGATGGCTCATGAAATACGTGCAGAAAAGTAAACAGTGAATTAATCAGTTCTTCTAGAAGACTCGTTCAATCGAAACATTCATAATTATAAGTCAGTTCGTCTACAGACAAAGTTGTATGTAAACAGTGCTAATGACAACCTTTACCTAACCAGCAAATTCTAAGCTAATAGAAAAAAAAGCCTTTAGGCAGAAAAAAAGCTATTACTTGAGAAAGGAAAATAAATTGAGCTTCCTCAAAAAAATAACCAATGCTTTTTTTAAAGATGAAACAGCTGAACCTAACGGTTCCTGTTATGTTCACCCTCTTAGTTTCTGAGGTACAGGAATTTGGTTTGACCTAGTAGAGATCAACTCTATTAAAGTCGAAAACCATCTAGTGGATTAAAAATACGCCTACAAACAAAATGAGATGATCCGGCGTTGCAGCCTTAGTTTGAACAAAGAGTAAATGGCAAACGAAAGATAACTTCTGATGATCGAAGTAATTGCATAAGCTAAGTGATAAGAATTGAAACACATATGCTTATTCGTGTAAATAACAAGCTCTAAATTTTTAACTTAACATGCGGGAAAACGTTCTTAAAAAAAAAGCCACGTCAAAAAAACAAAAAACAACGTTAAAGTAAAGCATACTAAATATCACATCTTCCAAAAAATCAAGATAAATCAGGAGTCATTTTTTTAGCCCCTGCCGCCTTCTCATTAGTAAATTCCTCTGAACTTTTAACCCACTAACTCTTAAGATCTGATCATTAATTATCTATTCTAGTTGCCATGCATTTCGTGATGAATTTTTCCTTTCTCTCAGGGGGTAATTTACTAATATTGTAAGAAAAATTTTCGCGTTAACTACCGCGAGAAGTTACCCAGAGTCAATGTGGTATTTAAGTGAATTCTCACTTGAAAAGTCTTAAAAATTACGTGACCTAAGCCCTTAAAAAAAATTCATAATAAACAATGTTTTTCACTTGCAATCAGGGTGCCTTGCAAACGTTGATATAAATATTTTATTACACCAGACACAGGATTCTCGCACGGAATCATCGATTACAGACTAGTTAATGATACTTGAGATCAATGATGTGTTTATTAAGAGTAGACAAATACTGATATCATACCTGAAGATAGTTTATATCTGGACGATGGACACAAAACGCGTGGAGAATCCTTGACAGTTTTTTAACCTGCAAATTAACAAACTTCAGTTGCAAGTCAAATAAAATAAAAACAATTTAATGAGAGATTAACATGGCTGTAGCATTAAAACTTCCAAAGACCGCAAAAACCGCAGAACTTTCACGACAATTTGCTGGTTGTCACGTCACTTAGCAACAAACAACAAATTCTCCGTCAAAGAGTTGTAGCTTTCCAGCTAAGTAATTACTGCTTCACTGAATGTTAGGAAACATTCACGGCACTTGCTTTGTCTTGAATTTGTCAAGAGTGTATCCTCATCAAGGTGAGTTTCGACTCAAACTTTCTACCTTTCAATGAACTAAATAGCAAGTCTACTACTTGACTAAGGAAATTCCCAAGTTGTTATTCACAGCCTCACGTAAGGAGATAAAGAATTTCATCTTCGTTCGTTTGATGGGAGAAATTTGGGCGAGAGGCCTCGCGGCGTCGAGGCCAACTTTAATTTCCCAAACGTTCATCATAAAGAAACTGTGATAGACATACAGACTAGTGAATAATTTTCAGTTTTGATCAATGGACACTACCAGACGTAGTAAAGAAACATGTTATGTTTTTTTTCCATGAGCATGGTGAAAAGAAAAAAATGTGTTTCCCCTTGAGGGATCAGTTAAATAAGTCACAATCTTACCTCCTCGGAGTCTGCTGATCGGAACCGTTCGTTGTTCGGCAGGGTTCGTAGCAGATCGCACTTGATCTGATTCTCGGTAACACCAAGCGGGTGATTGGCAGAGAGATTCTAAAATTTGAAAATAAGCATCGTATTAGTTTGAAGGATGTATAACATATGTCCTGTCCTTGAAACCTGTGTAAAAAGTCACGCGCAACTCAAAAAACTAACCCATTGAAAAACCATAGAGCATTGGCACAGCTTGCAATATTAACAAAATGCATAAACAGTGAGACGAAGAAATATTCTGAGTTCCTGTAAAGATTCGAATTCAAGCCTATTTGCTTCGACTTCGCAGTCAGCCACGGTGAACTCATTCGCCGAGCCATACGCAAGGTTCGTATGTGATAATAAAAAAAGTAATGGTACTGTGTTTATATTACTGCGTATATGAACTTCTTGGAAATTATTTCACAAGGATAACACAATGATCAAGTTTAAGTGGAAATTCAGTGTCGAGCGTTCGGGTGGGATCTTATATGCCCGAAGGCAGAAACGGCAGAAACCATCGTCACCAAAGAGCGTAACAACTTCGTATCGCCCGCCAGATTGCGCGTCTCTCACAGCTTTGCCAGCTAAGCCGCAATGACAGTGACACTATTCTGTTTCACAGCAGCTTTCCAGTTTCCCGTAAGGATATCAGACCGTTTTTGTTACAGGACAAGTTAGAAGTTGAACAGGTTTTTGTCTAAGCTATTGTGCAAAACGTCGGATAAAATTTGTCGACGCGACTGCAACTGAGCCTCTTCTTACAGGCCTTTCTTTCTCAATCGACGAATGCAATGCGAAAGGTAGTAGGCTGAATAAGGTGACAGCGCAAAGTCATTTAGAAGCGGTAATTTAGAGCGAAAGGAAGCAGTAAGAGGAGCTAAAACAGAGCGGTGAGACCTTATTGAGGCCACGCGGGCAACTAGGCTGGGTGACTGAGTGAGTGGATGAGTAGAACAATCAGAAGGAATGGTCATTTTCTCAAAAATATATACCTTGCGTCTCTCCACTTGGAGAAGAAGCTTTTGATAATAATCTCTCCCCTGAAAAATAAAGGAAAATATAAGACTTCATGTTAATTACATTCTAGACACTTCAAAAAGTGCGTTCCCCTCCCAAGAACTCCTGTAGAACATCTAAGCATGTTGTGACCGTTAACGAAGATTTTAATCGGAAAAGAACTGGAAGACAATTACCTTCTCTTTCTTTAAATGTTCTACCTTTTGCGCCATTGCACTAAACAGAGAAATATAAAATTAATTAAAACCCAAACAGTGATGCTCAGATTACTGGCTTAAATTACTGCAGTTGCTTAAAACGTTCTCCATGGCACACTCTTTCTCATATCTGATCGATTTTTTCCGGTTTGTCGAGGCAGTGGAGACGTTGTTTCTGATGTATTAAGCTGTTCATATATCTTGGTTTTTGAGTCCTTCGTTCACTCAGGGCGCGATACGGAATGGCACCTAAAGAGAATAACTTGCAACTCCTTTAGAAACAGTGAAAGAACGTCAAACTGGTAAAATTACCTTAACAACCCCACATACGAGGGAGATTCAAGGTACCAAAGTAATAAGAGAAGAGTCAGAACTTGGTTTCAATGATTAAAATGTGTGCGAAACAATTAGGAATCTGTGAGTTTTACATTACCTTCTCCATACTTCGCTTCTGCAGCTTCTGGGGATACCTTCTCTTAACAATGCTTTCATTCCTTGCTGTAGGCAAAAATAAGGAGGAGTTCAAGAATGGTGCCAAACTAAATATTGACTCTGCTTATCCTTTTTTACATCTTCAACCATCTCTCAATAAGTTAAAACAAAACAAAAAACTATAATATTGCGTGTTTCCCAAGATAAAGACGCTGGCTGCAGTTTGCTGTATACTCATTCTATATCTCAAATTATAAAATGTTCAAAGAAATACGCGCGCCGTGATTGGTCAGAACGAGTTCATTATATTTCCATAAAGTACGCGCATTCCGTCACACGAGTGCACTGTTGAGATATAATGCACGCAGCCTACATCATCGGTACGAGCGCACGCAATTCACGATACATTTTATAAAAGAAATAAAAAACTTGTTCCTCGAGAGGTGCCTTCGACTCGTGCTTCTCCGCACTTCTCTCGTGTTCTTAAAAATTCCCGCGTGCCTATATAACTCAACAATGCACTCGGCGCGTTTTTTTATTTCTTTATTATAAGTTTTAATTTCGTCGTTTCTCGATCACTATGACGTCATAACAAGTGTTCTTTGAACGCCACGTACTGTATATTTTCGGATTTTCCTTCACAAGACGCAGTGATGCTAAACGCAGTGACAATAGACGAAGCTGCTTAAAGCATTCTAGATAACAATGATGTCACCTTCCTCCACCTTCACCATTCTACAACTTGCTACAACTGACCTATTGTAAGCTTCACTTACCTCGTTAAAAACCACGTCTTTGCTTTCTTGTTGCCTAGCTTTCACATACTGTGACCACAAACGGGCATGACCATCTCTGTTCTAGGGAAATTAAACAATTATTGAACACGTCTAAGACCAGTAAAAGGGCGTTATACTTTTGTGAACAATGCAAACTTTCCACGAGATAACGTCGGCACTAAACTGAACAAAAGCAGCCACAAAGGTTGGTATATTTCACCTGATAAAAGCTCGAGTAATGTTGTTTCAGCTCACGACAAAGGAAGTGAAACAGTTCACTTTCGCTCTCTCTGGCTCCATGGATAAAACCATAACTGTCTCTAAAACTACTTGAAGCTGATGTGCTTCAAAAGATAAGAAAAAAAGGTCATCCAATAAAGAACTCCTAAAACATGAAATCCATGACACAATTGCCCCCCAAGATCAGTAATTTTTCCAAAATAAGCTACATTCTCCTCTAACGTTAATAAAAATAAACTAGCAACAAGCGGGACACTTGTCACATGTGAATGTACCATGTGTCCTTGGTCACTACCAAGAACTTCGCACTGTTGCGGCGCAATTAGCAAAGCGTTTGAGCAAAAAAAATCATTGAAACTAGTTAGATTTCCAATCCTTAACCAAGGTGGACTCAAATTTTTCATTGTCCTACGCTTGCGACAAAAGTTTAACATCTTGCTGGGTTGAAATGCCCCTGGAGTCTTGGCTCAATTTCCGCCGTTTTCTCGAGTCCAGTTTTTGATCCTTGCGGGAGAATCGCGGACTCATTTCCCGAACAGCGGTTAGCAGTCGAGTCTATCTAGTGGAGTCTGCCTAGCAACAACCTCTTACTTTCCTCAAAACATAAGCCCCAGATGGGAAAGTACAAAGGGAGTGAAGGAGGTTAGTCCTCTCTTCATCTCTTGCATCGAATTTCGCATTGTCTCGGGCAGAGAGGACTGAAAACTGATTCTTCAAAAATTTTCATTTTTTTAAGATTCTCTTGTATCTAGTCCGATTGTAAGTTTAAAAAAAATTCATAAGCTTTCCTTGATCGTCAGTTCTGAAAAGTTCCGTTAATACTCCTCTTTAACATCAAAACAACTCGGAGAAATGGTCCAACCACCAGAAAACTTGCCAACGATATTTGAATATTTAGTAGTTGCATGTTATTACCCACCGATATTCGTGGTAGCAAAAGTCAGTCGATTGACAATACGCAGACGACGAGGCCAGAAGTTTATAATGGCAGAAAAAACGCAAAACGGATTTATT